ACACACACACACACACACACACACACACACACACACACACACACACACACACACTATAAATAAAAATGTGATCTTTATTTCCAGAGAACCCAACCAAACCCAGGTCCTGAGTTTCTTCCAGACTGACCTGGGTGGCCTCCTCCCTCGGTCTGTGGTGGACTCCTTCTTCCCCTCCAGCATGTTGCAGTTCTACAGTAATCTGGACAGAGCAGTTAGGTCCCTGGTTGACCTTTAGACCAGATTCTGTTTGATCAGTCCACCTGCTTTCAGGCTTGTGTTCACATGGAAGCAGAGCAGTTGTATTGTGAAAGATCATTTAACAGTAAATCTGTTCATTTTATTTTGAAAGATCATTTAACAGTAAATCTGTTAGTTTTATTTTGAAAGATCATTTAACAGTACAGTGGGGTGTGAAAGTTTGGCAGCCTTGTTAATTGTCCTGATTTACCTTTATAAATCATTGATTGTTTGGATTAAATCAGTTAAATATAAATATATCAGATAACACTTAAGGGGGAGRTAAGATGGGGTGGGATCAGAGGAGTTGGTAACGTTGAAGGAGGGGGGTCCGTGCCAGGACCCAACCCTGGCCCCCTCCAGAGTCACATGATGATATCGTCTCTGCTCGTTTAGCCAGAGTTCAGAGTTTCTCTTCCTCGGCCTTGGGTCTGGAGCCAGGACCAGCACGGGTGATGGGGGTGGGAGGGGATCAAACCTTTGTTGACATTCCATCCCGGGGAGTTTCAGATAACGTACCCATCAAGGCTGTGCTGCTGAGAGCCAATAGATAATCCAATTTGTTTTGGAACAAAGCAGCCTTGAATTTCCTGCTGCTTTTAAATGTCTTAACTGCATCTCTGAAGTGGTGAAAAAAAAGAAAAAAACAATTGGAGTCTTCCTCGCCTGTCACCGACTGAAGCTTCACCCAGGTGTAATCCTTACATGCCAGAGGCTCACTCCTGAGCTGCGATCCTCGTCAGAATCACATCCAGTTTGCAATTTATCTCCCCCAGCTGAGAGTCTGTGTGCTACCAGCCCGACAGAATCCTTCAAGTGTGCCCAACAGCTCCTCAAAGGCCCAATCCACTGTCAGGGTTGCTTTCACTTTTYGATAAACCTGGAACCCTCCTCCGCCGATCAGCAGGAATCCAGTTATCATAAATCCAAATATATATAGATCTTCCACATCCTTGATGGAAAGTGGTGCCAGTCACATCAGCTTCCAGCCCCATGAACTGCTGACACGGCCGGCAGCGACCGTTCCACCCAGACGTTCCCCTCGTTCCAATCTTAATGTGGAAAAGAATAGTGTCAATTTTGTTCAGAGACCAGTTGATCAGATCCATAATACCTTTTGTTTCAGATGGTAGGTGAAAAAAATGTTTGAAGAGCAAAAGCAGCAAAGCAGGGAAGTGGGGTGGGGTGGGGG